GGATCTGATGGGCGTTCAGTTTCTGGCAATGGAGATTCTGCCATCAATTTCAAGATTTCCCAGCCTGAAACTGGAAGCATGTGCCAAAACTTCTGAGACACTCACATTACATTTTGGGATGCAGGCAGCTGCATTAAGATACGCATATATTCACTGTACTTGTCGGAACAAAGCTGCCTGTGTGTAAGTGTATGTACATTTTTTGCTTTGCCTCAAAAGCAGTTGAAGCAGGAACATTAGGCCCCAAGACCTATTGGGGTGGAAAGAAAGAAATTAGTGTTCTATGTGGAAATATGGCTGAATGGGTTCTAAATTTCACCCAAAGCCATTGGACAATGGCATTACTCTTCCTCTAGTATGGCAGTAGAAAGGAACTGAGGATCAGCAAAAGACCTATCTGTACACATTACTATAAACTGAGCAGGAACTAGGAAGAAAATGCCTATCATCATAATAGTGATTACCCTCAAGTCCTAATTCCAGGAACCATTCTTTGTGCTAGTTAGGATTCAGGAGCAGATGGAAGGTTTGTCATATCACCCTCAACCTTCCTCTTCTTTCTTTTTCCTGGTGCAGATATCAGTGTCAGTGGAACTGCAAGCAAGGAGAATGCAGCTGGAACTGGCATTGCAGCACAGCCTTCATTGTTGACAACACCTGAGCCATGGCACCTTTTGGTGACTCAAACACCAGCCAAGGAAAAAGCCAAAGAGGGTGAAACTGTGGTCTTAAATTGCCACTTTAGCAGTCCACGGCATCCCTCCCTGACTGACCTGATGGTGAAGTGGTACAAGGAAGATGAAAAGGGGCAGATGGACCTGCTAGAGAACAACGTGACCATCTTGACAAATAACTCCAGGTTTTTCATGAGTGGAGACTTGTCCCAAGGGGATGCCTCCCTGGTGATCCTCAATGTGACAATCAGCGACCATGGTATTTATTTCTGTGAGGTTACGCTTCCAGACAGGATGGTGGTGAGAGGAGATGGCACAAAGCTCAGGATCAGGAGAGCTCTAGGTAATATTTAATGTTATTTACTTATTTTTTCTTCTTTCTTCTCCAGAGCTGGTCTACACACATGCAAAAAGAAAGAGGTTGGCCTGTTTGGCCTCTGCCAGTTAGGGCTTTGTATCATGGAGTGTAATTGCTCCATAGCATTTCTCATTATTTTTGTTAGACCAGCTAATTTTGATTGGCTTGCCTCTGTAAGCAGTCCCATGGGTATTATTATAAAGAGGGGCATTTACAACCAAAAGAGAAGGAATAGTTTTATCACTAAAATCACTGTCAGTGCCAAGAATGAAACAGCCAGACAAGTTCTCTTATACTCACATCTCTGTTTAGCAGAACCTCCGTGAGTGACAGGTGTCAAGATACTGTCTTAGAAAACAGTTCCAAACTCCTTTTTTTGGATATCGTTTCTCTCCAACCCACTAACTTGCATATTCATTTCTTATCTCTGCAGCAGCATCTTTTGCCATAGCATCTAGCTGTTAAGGGAGATTGCAAGAGAGTTGGGGCTGTCCTATCTAAATCCCCAGGAAGTGTAGCAGCTTCTTAAATTGGAATAAAATAAAAATTGAGCTCCATAGTGCAATACACTCTCTCCCATGTAGAAGTCCATGATTTCGTGTTAGACAAGACATAGACATAATTGATATCACCGTAAGTAGGTTCCTCTGCAGCCAGTGCAGAAAACATGCTGGCTGCATTGCCTATACTTGTCTGGACAACATCTTGTTACTCTCTGTACCTTCCTTCTCCACCAGGTTTGTTTGGTATAGAAGAATCCATTGGAACAATCATCGGGGTTGTGGCAGCTGGTGTTGGAGGAATAATGGTTCTGATCGTTATTTTAACCCCCCAGCTGAGGAGGTGTGTCCTCTGCATGAGACAAGGCTCTCACCAAGGTAAGAAACACAAGCCAAAGCCTGGAATACCTTGCCAGAAAGATGAACCAAATCATCTGTTTCCAAAGGTACCTGTTTTTTGAACTTAAGCAGGAATTAGCCATTCACTTACTTCTGGTCAGACACAGTACCTGGTTCAGGAAATAAGCAACATGGATGAAACTCTAACAGGGCTGGCTCTGTATTCTCTTTTTCAAATAGTTCTTTGTTTATGTAGGGTAGAGCTTCATGCATGGGCCTAATGAGTTCCTATAAACAAAACAATAGGATTTTCTTTAACTTCCACTTCAGCAGAGTTGTTTGATGAGATGCTGCTGCTTCTTTTAATGAAGTCCTGGGTCCCCTTCACTTCTTCTAGGTTCATGCTGAAGGATGGTTCTTCCTCCCACCAACTATGTGCTTGCATCTGTATTCTTGTAATGCTTTGGATACAGAAAGCCTGTAATGGCCTAAGTGTGTGTTTGAGGTGTGGTTTTGAAAGCCTAGTAATATCTGTTATTAGATCAACCGATCAGGTTGGGAAAACTAGATACATCCATGTCTAGATATGAGCCAAATAAATGACCCGAGAAGTAACTGATGAACCTGAAAGCTCGCCTGTTTTTTCCACCTCTGTCAGCCGGCCCAATTAGAGTAGACTGACACTGAAGGCTGGGTTTTGAAACGAGCCTAGTTCCTATTTTGCACAACCAGGATGTGGTCTGCGTTTCAGACGGAGCCCAGCTGACTTTCTGCTTTCAGTGGTGAGCTGTGTGGTTTGCACGTGTTACTCCAGCACCCAAAAATCTTCCACCTCCTGCTCAGAAAAGAAATCCCTGGAGGGAAAGATGCTCTCAACACTCACTGTGCCGCTGCCGCCACCTGATGGCCAGCGTGGTGGAGAGGCTCTGCTTCCCTTATCGGGCAGTCTTCCCATCCCTTGCCGAAACACACACCCACACCCCGTGGCTACTGCTGCCCACACAGCATCATCCCCTTGCAAACCCTCCGTAGGAACAGTGTCACAACTTCCTTACTTGCCAGGAAACCTTGGAAGAGTTTATCGTGTTGTATTAACTCTGTATCATTCTCCTCCTTGCTCTGTGTAGCTTGAGGTGCAGCTTTACAAGAGTCACTGGAAGATACAAAACCTGCAGGTGGAACAACTTCTGACACCCCATAAGCCAAAAATGGAGCTCTAGATGGAATAAAAGCCTTTACCTCAATACATGTCTTTGGCATTTTATTTTTGTTAGTCTGTTTCTTTTTCCTGCAGCTTTTCAGACACAGTGGCATATTCAGCATCCTCCTGCAGCCAGGAGCAAAACAGCCTTTTGTGAAGAAATTTGTATTATTGCCTGCCAAAACCCACTTAGTTTGGCCTCATAACCTCTGAATTTAGGCTCTGATGAGGTACATTGCGTCTTTCCCTGCCACTGCTTTTTATTTTAAAGGTAGTATTGAAGTTTGTTAGATGTGCTTCAGAAGAGACAGAAGGAGGCTGACCTACCCAGACCCCACAGCTCCCCAGCTGCTAACACCTACCCAGAAAATCAAATGTGTTGTTTCTGGGAGTGCAACCGTGACTCCTATCTGTCTCCACTTCCCAGTATAGAGGCTCTTGTCCTGTTGGCTTGATAGAATCAAAGAACCGTTAGGATTGCTAGTTCCAATCCCCCTGGATGGGCAGGGACATCCCATTAGAGCAGGTTGCTCAAGGCCTTGTCCAAAGTGGCCTTGAACACTACCAGGAATGAGTCAACCACAGCTGTGCTGGACAGCCTGTTCTAGTGTCTCACCACCCTCACAGTAAAGAATTTGTTCCTAATACCCAATCTAAACTTCCCCTGTTTAAGTTTAGACCCGTTACCTCTTGTCCTATCACTACAGTCCTTGATGAAGAGTCCCTCTCCAGCATCCTTGTAGCCCCCTTCAGATACTGGAAGGCTACTATGAGGTCTTCATGCAGCCTTCTCTTCTCCAGGCTGAACAGCCCCAACTCTCATATGGAAGGTGCTCTAGCCCCCTTATTTTCCTTGTGGCCCTCCTCTGGACTTGCTCCAACAGCTCCATGTCCTTAAGTACAGGACACCAAAACTATATACAATACTCCAAGTTGAGTCTCATGAGACAGAGAGAGGCTTGCTCCAGCCTACAGGTTTGTACCAAAAAGACAAAGGTGGCCAACTTGAATATAGCTACCTGGGGCTGAAAGAATATGATTTTGTTTTACTTTTGCCAGAAGGAAACTTACTGTTTCAATATAAGCCTGTAATGCCCTTAAAATGAGCGATGAAAGATTTGTTTGATGTGACTAATGTTCTCTACAGTCCCCATTTCCTGACAGGAAAATATCTGATTCCCAGGTGATCAGTATCCAGGGGGTATGTCAATATAGGAGAGCACCTCCTGTATGTATAGGAGAGCACCATATCAGCTCTGAAGCATGTGTACTGGGTAGGGAATAAGTTCTCTTGCCTGCTAGCAAGTAGAAGTCAGAAACCCGTGCTGGCTTTGCAACAGCAGTAGGCCAGCATAACTCTGCTTACCTCCGAACACATCTCAGAAGGGTCCCCAGTGCTATGAGGCAGGAACATGAGGGATAAGACAGCTGGCTATATAAATTAAGAAAACACACACACACACCATGCAAGAAAGGATGGAGCCCTGCCCTGGGCCAGACTCTGCTTTTCCTTCTGGTGGGAAGCAAAATCCCTTCAAGCAAAAATAAAGAATAAGGAGGCTTCCTCCCTCTTTGATGTCCCCTCTTCTGCAGGTCCAGGAAAATTAAGCGGGTCACTCTGCTTCCAGTTTGGCGTGCCCCAGGACTTCCGAGGCTGGTGTATCTTTCACAGAAATGGTTTCTTTCTTTGTTGGTTTGTTTTAACAAGACAGCCCAGCAGAAGCCTCTATGTGTTTTCCAGATCATGTGTGTGGAATGCAGGTCAGGCAATGTGAAAGGACAAAAAAGCCATTTGGTGATGGGTAATGCGTTCCCACTACGCTGCAGACCAAACCCTCTATTTCTGGGAAGGCCATGATCAGAGCAGGATCTTACCCTTCAGCATGTATGTTACCCTGTCTCTCCTCCCCGTAAACCTTGTCCTGACAGAAATTCTCTCACACCATTGTTATCCCTGGTAAAAAAGGTAAAATTTTATTCCAGCGCCTTCAGATTCAAAGGGTTATAAGAAAGGTCCTGAAAAAACCTACTCTGGCCCCCCATATCCGAAATGGCAGGTGGGATGAGTCTGTCCACATAAAAAGTCTGGCCAGAGGACGAAGTGTGGGTTGTATGGGGCTGCTCCCCAACACTTGGCTGCCTCTTGGTCACACAGACACACCATTTTTTCACACCGGTCTGTCAGGTTATCTGCAAAAGGAAATGTGAGTGAAGAATGAGGGATTCTGGATGAAGGCAAGAAACAGTTTCAGGAGGAACTATTCCATAATAAAGCAAATCTGAGGGAACAGAGGCTGTGGGAGCAGGAGGAGAGAAGGGCCAACAAGTTGTATGTGTGTAGATCTGACCCTCCCCTGTGCTGTCTCTGTTGATAGGTCTGACCCTAACTGTCACCAAGAGCACCAGAAAGTAGCCCCTAAACATAAACTGGCAATGCCTGTACAAATCTGCCCAGCTCAGAGCTGTGTGAACAATGGGGGCTTAGTTCAGTGATGGAAGCTAAATATGATTTTAGCTTAGCCTGAGCTAAAAGTATTCCATTTCCCTCCAGTCAGTCCATTTCCCTGCTAACTCCTCCCTTTGCAAACCAGGCCAATTTCAAAGGTAAAACAATGCTGCTTTGAAAGGAGCAGTCTCCCACGGGGACATTTGGAAACCTGAGGGTGTAGAAGCACCCACCAGATATCCTCCACTCATGCTCCATGAGTTGCTCTTGTACCTCTTTTGTCTGAATGGGATCAGGTACTATACCTTCACACCCCAAAAAGAGCTGCTGTGCGGTAGCCTGAGGTAGGAAATTTGCCTTCTGAACATGTTTCTGGAGTTCCTTCCCATGGGGGATGTCAGGAGAAGTGAAGCTTGATGAGGGCTTGTGGAGAACAGTTAATGGATGTTTGTCAGGCCTTGTCTGGACATCAGTCTAAGGAATTAATGGTGTTCATTTAACTAATGCTCATTAGCCAGGTTGGAGCAACTGCAGCCCTGTGCACTTTTATGGGACAGACATTGCACGTGTCTGGTGGGCTCAATAGTACATCTCGCATGTGCAGTGAGGGTTGTTCCTTCACAGCAAAAAGAAACAGGAATTCTTTTTTCCATATAAAAAATAGCTAGCAGAAAATACTGGTTAGCTATGGAAATATGGGTAAGTGAGGGGGAGAGGAGTCATACATTAAAACATTAGCCAGCATTTAGCCATTCTTTAGCCAGCACTTTGTACTTAATAGGTTGTGCTGGCACTTGGAAAACAGCAGCTGCAGATGTGCTGTGCCCTGTCTCATACCTGCTACCAGATTTTTAGCTGCTGGAGAGGCTGAAGACTGCCCAAGTAGCCTATGGAATTCCGATAAAGACAAACAGTCTTTTAACGTACAAGGAGTATCCTGGGTGGAATGGGAACAAGTTTTACTCTCACATGTTTCTTTTCAACCTTTCAAAGTGTTCCACAATGGATTTTACCACCAGGAACTTTTTGGAGACTTAGAAACAGAAGTGACAAATTCTAAGACTCAAGTCATCTGGTGTATGTCAAAACAAACTGGTGTGAGCCACTGATGGGCTGTGCCTGTGCAACTGAAGACCTTGGCTGGGTGCCAGCTGTAGAGCTGAGCACAGCCTACACTTGCTGTATGCCTGCAGACCTCAAGAGCACTTGATTCTGCAATCCTCAAAATGCCTGCTGCAGCCCCAGGGCTTTAGGCTGGAGCCCCACATGCGACACAGGTGCACGCTGGCACCCTCCTTCACCTGTCTTGCATCCACGTGTAACAGCACAGCTCTTCTCCAGCAGGGGACAGTGGTAAGTAAAAGAGTGAACAGCCCTGCTGGAAGGAGGGCCAGAACTGCCATGGGAAGACCACCCCTGCAGACCATCACACGGCTATGGGGGGAGGTCAGTGAGGAGCAGGCATGCTTAATGGGAATGAGTGCAGAGCCTCCAGAGAAGCATCTGCATCCCTGCCACACTGAGATGGCTGATGTGTGGGCTCCATGGCCCCAACTCCCACTCCTCTGCCTCAGGAGGACTCAGGTTACCTGGAATGGTGGTGCTGGAGCTCCAGCCTTCCTCTAGCTCCAGCTGGGGACTCTTGGCAAGCCTAGCGATCCAGGCAAGGGATGGGCAGAGAGCTTGCAGGAGAGCAGATGCTGCCTAAAGCGGCTTTGAAACCAGCTCAGCATACAACAGACCTACCCCTGAGGCCCACAGAGCTCTTAGGTCAGCCTAGTGCCTGCCAAGGAGGGAACGAAGTGAACCCGAAGCAAGCAAGCATTTCCTTACCGCACTGCACGGCATTCTGCTCACATGCCCACTGGTAGCGCTGCATCTTGGGGCTGCAGCCTTCCTTCTCTGCCTTGTCATAGCAGCAGTCGTGCCTGTGGCAGCACCTGTGGGAGAATAAAAGGCAGAGCTTGGACATCCTCCTGCATGACATGCTCAGGGGTGTACTCAGGAGTGCTGCAGTCACACACAGCTCACAACAGCAGTGTTTGCTCTACCTTGTCAGTAAATGATCTGTTGATGAACCAGTATCCTGTCATCCCTGTGAATGTCTACATGGCTCAGGAGCTCATTAATGCCATATTTGCTCCCATGACCACTGTGCTGCTTCCTCTGAGCTTTTGCCCTCAGAAAGGCAGGTGTGGTCAATACATGCTAATCTCACTGGAAGGGACCTGGTATGTTCCCATGAAGAGTGTGATCGCGGCTCCCTGGCTCAGGCTCAGACCCATCCCAGGAGTTGTAGTCAGGACGTGTTTTGTATCCTCAGCATCACCAGGCAGCTTCATCTCTTCAGTTCACATGGGCCTGCAGCCTTTGATCCATCCAGTTTCTGAGGGCTGGCTACAAACTCATCAGCCTCAATGCCGATGCCTCAATGTAAACATCCACAGCTAAGGCACCGAACTGTACTCCATTTATGCATGTCTGGGGCACAGTTCATATTACTATACTACAAAAAGCTACGTAGGTGAAAAACATTGCATTTGCAAGTGCAGTTGCATTTCATTGACCATAGAGGGGGCTGAGGGTGACTAGCTCAGTCTGTCCTACAGACTGGTCAGTGAGATACTTCCCACTGTCAATTAAGAATTTATAGACCATTTGACCCCGCTTGAATTTTATTCTGGTAATTCAGGGGCTCAAAATACACCAAGAGAATATTCAGCAGCTAGAAATGTCCACTGCCGAATAACAGAGGTTGTTTCAATGGTGCAAGCTCAGAGGCTGGAGCCGGAGAGGAGCAATCTCCTGCATTTCCAGAAGCTCGTCCCTGCAAGATCACTGGGACTTTACAGAGAAACTGCTCTACTGACTGGGAAGCATCACAGCAGGCTGATCTTAGGGGTAAATGAAGAGCAGACAGCTTTCAGAGAAGCTCTTGAGTCTTGATGTTCATCTGTTCAAGACGCCGATGAGGTGGTGCAAAGGGAGCACAGCTGTGCTGGCTCCCCATAGATTACCAAATCCAGCTGAAAACTTTGACTGCTGTCTTCAAGACCTGAGGCCAACCTACCTGAAAAGTCAGTAAAAGTCTGGGATCCATCATTGTGTCCCTCTGGAATGTGGGACAACCCTGCAAGGAGGACAAAGGTCCCTTGTGCAGGAAGCAGGGCTTCTCAGGGGACCCATCGGGAGCTGCCCAGTACCTTACCCGAGCACTCAGGACCATCGCAGACTTCATCATTTGGCTGCAGGAGTTTTTCCTCTCAGAAACTGGTTTACAGCTATGAGGCTGGTGAGCAGTGTGAGGTGATAAAGCCAAGGGGAAAATGTAAAACTATTTTGAAGTGCATCAACCACTGATGCAAATTCTAATAAAATCACTGGAATGAGATCAGGGGAATCATGTGAAAGGGAAAACAGGATGGGACCAGTCGGCTCCAATTTAGCCTTCATTCAAGCTGCTGTGATTACGCACAGGCTGAATTTAGTCCAGTGTGCTTTCCCTGCTGAATGGGCTCCCAGTTTAGTAGCTGGAAGTAACAATTTCATCCCACAGAGGAGTCTCCCAACAAAATGCCTTTTTTCTCTGAGCTCACGAAGATGAAACCTGTGTGATAACTATGTCCAGACTACTCACTGTGTTGTGAAACCTTGAAATGTAGGGTATCAGGAGCAGACTAATATCTTCTTCCATGCCAGCTCCTCAAAGGACTTCAGAATGGGACTCAGACCTATGGGATATATGTATCTAGATGCTTTCCCATGAGGAGTTACAGCAATTGCTGTAATTGAGAAAACCTTATTCAGCCCATAGAACCAGTTCTGTTGGACAAGATGGCAGTAAGAGGCTGTGGTTCAGATCTTTGTTGGTCCAGTAACACCTCACTCCTGGGCTTGTTCTGAAGAGGTTAGAGATGAAAAGCCAAAGGAGAGAAGAATTTGCAGCCTTGTGGACAGAGTGAAAGCTTCAGCATTCTCCAATGTTTGAGTCCCTATACAGAGTGTCATATAATACGACAGGGATGGACTACAGCAGTGAACTACAACTGAGGCTTGTGTCATTTGGAGGAGCTACTGTAGCCCAGGGCATCCTGGCTAATGTACCTGAACCAGCAGCACAGTCTCATCCATTCTCAGGGGGATGACAGATGGCAGAGCAGGCCCATCATCAGTGTCACATATATGGGACACAGAGCACATGAGGCCATGGTGGAGAGCCACAAATCAGGCTGAGCTGAGGCAGAGCTGTAGAAATTGTAGGGTTTGTGAGGTCTGGGGAGTGAATCAGTCAAGTCAAGTTGGTAAAGTTGGTGTCAGTGATGGAGGAGTGTGGGGAGGAGGAACAACCTCAAGGTAGACAGGCAAAGGAAGTAGATAAGAGCCTGTGTGCCAAGGGAATGAAAGTGCTCTTCATGGAGAGACAGAGGGAATTAACAGAAAAAGAGGTAGGAGAAGTGAGAACAGGTCTTGGAGAGGGCAAAAGATGGTCTGTGAATCAGGCAAGGACAAGAAAATGAGCACTAGAGAGATGTGCTAGCTAACTGTGAGAACTTGCTGCTCTGCATCTGGCTTGGCAGAATCAGTGGATTGCGTAAATTCTGCAGGACCATTCTGCTTCCCATTACCCCAGTTCCTCCTGATGATACCCGTCACATCAACACAAAGTGAGAAGACTGGCTCATATTTGACAAACACCTCTTTCAGATGTGCTGAAACTGCACTGTGAGAGAATGAAGACTGATGAAACTTATCACTGCCCTTTGCCACCTTCAGATGGTCCCCTCCTATCTGGAAATGCCTTTTCCTGCACCTGGGTCAGAGTGTGGTGTTAAGCTTTTGACAATCTGCTAATGCTCTGTTAGACCCATGCAAACAGAGCCAGCCAACACTATGTGGGAGCACTGCTCAACAGGTATGGAAAGCAAACACAACTGTGTCATCTACTTAGCAAACAACCTGTTCATCAGGTCTGGGCTATGAGACAGCCCTAATGGCTACAGACAGCTCCAGCTGGTCCTCAGGAATCAGTTGGCCAGATCCCTGCTGCTCAGCAAATGCCATTAAGGTAAGAATTTGTCACTTTGTGTTTGTCAAGATAACAGCACTGTCACTGCTGTACATCCTTTTGTTTTGCTTTAACTCATATATGCCATTGTGCTTTTCATAGCATTTGGTGTTTTCAAGGAGATGCTGAGCATCTTCAGGTCCTGCTTTACAAAATGAGTGCTGCAGCCATCCAGGGGAACACAAAGGAGAAGGAGAAAGAAATCTATTGACTTTATGCAGAGGGGATGCTGTTATGGCTCAAAGTGACGGGACAATGAGAGTGGAAAAGAGTGAAATGGTAGTTACTGAGAGCACCACATCAAAGTCAGTGTGTGGAATAAACCCTATAAAAGAATTACCCACTCAATGGTATTTTTAATTTTCCCATAGAAAAGAGGTGTTCGGAAACACTCAAGCCCTGTCTAGACAGATTGACTGAATTACTCACAAGAAAATTACTCCTTTTGTAAGGGTCTCAGTAACACACTGAGAAGTGTCAAGGGGATGAGTAATTTGAAACAGTGTTTGTCACCCTTGGCCAGTCATTTTGCCACTCTGCTTTCCTTCTGTTTTAGAATGGCAAATATGAAGAACGTGGTCACTTTGGCAGACACAGGTACCCAACAACACTGAGCTTTGCAGCAGTGCTCAGTAACAGAAGATTCCTCCAGCAACCATGAAATGGGAATTTTTAGGGCTAAATCTACAACCGGGGCGTTGCTGGTTCTTCCTAGCTAAGAACCTGACTGAAAACCTTTTTGTTGGTTTTGGTTCTCTGTTTTGTTTTGAGTATTTTTTTGCAGCCCCGTTGCAGATAAGGAAAAATAATGAATGCACATAAAGGATCAAGCTTCCCTTTTACAAACCACCTGGTGTTTTGAGGCATTTCCAGTTGCAGAGTCTCATTTTCTGCCATTAGGATGAAAAACATACTCCATGGAAGTCAAACGGCAGCAGAAACACCGGCTGATGAGCGTGTGTCCATATATTATTCCCTCTGGCTGTTTTTCAGGAGTGCTGACCACTTGCATCTCCCAGAGTCACCTAAATTTGGGGGTCACTCAACCTCTATGGAAAACAGCTTTTGGGCATTAGCTCTTCAGTAAAAGAAGTACTCCAGATGAGTGAAGTCATGCTTTACTTTAAAGGCCTGCTTATGAGAGCTGGTACAGGGCTAACAAAAATTACACCTTACAGACACTGCTGTAGGTGGTGATAAGCCAGTCTAGAGGTAGTACTGAAAAGTAAAAGAAATCTCTACACATGAAAACAATGACATTCTATAGGCAGCTACTCATCATTTCTAAGTCCCCTATTCACACATGAATTCATAGATTTCATAGATTTCATAGATTAAACGTTTCATAGATACAAATTTGGGATGCGATGAGAGGGCTTTGGCAGTGAAACATTTCACTACATCAGTGAAGACAGTTCCACTAATTTCAAGGGACTCTTGCTCTTTCATGCCCACAGAGGAGCTGGTCTTTAACCTTGGCATCTTTTGTTCCTTTTTTACGCTTTTTCTGTCCTGCCAATTCAGCAAAGTCTGGTTCTGTAGCAATGTGAAATGTCTCCAGCAGCTGGATACTGTGGGAAGCTCAGTTTCCTCCCTAATGATCTACACCTTTACACCCGGAGTGCCTTCACCTCTGCTAAAAGCTGCACTTGCCTATTAGTAGCACACACCCTATAGACTGTAGATAAACAGATTCATGTGCTCTGTCTGTGAAGTTCCAAAGCAGACAAGATTGCAGATAACAGGCTCAGAGCACACAAAAGTCCACCATGCTCAAGATTTAAATGTATGCTAATTGCAAAGTACAAGGAAGAAACCTTTGATTGCAACACCTCCTAGACTCATTGCCTGTAGCCTCAGGAGTAAGCACAGCATCTTCCCTACCAACCAAGTAAAGGGGAAATAACACAATGCTCTCCCCTGTTGTTGTTCTTCCTCTATTTGGTGTGAATTAACAGGCAATGAAGGCAACGGGGTTTATTATTCCCTGCAATGATTTGGATTTCTTCCAGAGGTTGAACACTGATATTCCCATCACAGCCATTTTCAGGACCTAGTGAAACAACCCTCCAAATACCTTGATCACTCCCCTTTTTTTTCAGGAAGGGCTTGTTCTCTATGAATAAACATGCAACTATTTCAGGAAATCATATCCTGATTACTCCTTTGCCCTCCACCCCACATAGCCCCAAGAGCTTTGGTCCCATTCAGAAGGTAGCTAAGCCCTCATTCAAACACCAAGTGATACATGAGTCCTCACAGTTCCCCGGTGATGTTCGTATGTACTGAATTCCCTCTCTGTGAGGTAGCAGTGAGTCCGTGGAGTCACCATAGTATATACAGGGAAGAGTGGGGAGATCTGCACTGCTTCTGGACACGCAGTTGAGGTTCTTCTTACCAGTCTGTTTTATCTTTAGGCCAGCCATGTCCTCCCAGTCCACAGTAGCATCCGTAGCCAATATACGCCAAGGGAGACCGTCCTGTGCCACACGATATAGCTCCTGCCAATTCAATGATTCCTCGGGTGTGCAGTGAATGGGATTTTCCCAGAGCACCTTTCCAAACTGCAAAGACAGGACATGGCTACACACAAGGATTGAAAACGCCTCACATGATCCTCCTAAGTCCTTAGTGGGGGATTTTTTTGTTTGGTTGGGTTGGTTGAACCCTGGCAATCTCATTAGCCATGACATTCAGCCTGCAAAGTAGACTGTGTGGGGCCTTATCTGGGGGCTGGATGCAGAAATACCCAAGCCAGCTATTTCTGCAGAGAGAGCTCAGTTCAAGCAAGACTCCCTAGCTCTGGTGCAGCTATATGGCACCTGAGAGCAGTGTACCTGGTTTAACAGATCACGTAGCCCAAGCTGTTGGCTTTATAGTGCCTGTGCCAGCACCATGCAGAGCCAGCTGGGCTTCACTGCGCCCCAGAGCTCCCAAACCTGGGACACCTTACTCGCTATGCTGTGGTCCCAGGTGGGATGTGGAACAGCAGAGCACAAGTGTGCAACCAGACCTAACCTGGGCTCTAAGCAAAAAAGAAGTTTCTGTGTTGCCCAAGGTGCCTTATATTATCCAGGTTTCCCCTACTATTCTGGATGTTTTAACCCCTTCTCCAGGTCACAAAAAGCTGACAGTACTATTAATTTATGTAGGGTCAGCTACAAGTCCCTGAGCCTGTAAAGTACGCGTTGTCCAGGATAGAGCGCCTACATAAGCCAAGATGTATGTGTATCAACTTTCTTTTGAGCATCTGGAGGTGCTGGCAACACTTACCTCTGCTTCCGTTATTACATTCCATGTAAGTCATAACATCAGGTTGGCTGCATTAACTTTGGCAAAAGGAGCTCCATGTCCTGTGCCAGTGACCCCCAAACCGGTTGGGGTGGTTTCGAGGTACAAGTCTTTCCAGCAGGGTTGTGATTCCACTTGTTAATTTGCAACTCTTCAGAAATCACAGGCTCTGCCTTGCAGTGACCCTTACAGAAACCAGGAGTGCCCTGCCCCTAATGCTCAAACAGCTTTGATGCTCAGCTGCAAACGCTGGTGCTTATCATGTTAAGGATAGTGACAGACAAGGGTATTTCTTGCCTGTGTCCACTGTGAAGGACAAAGAGCACTTTGCACTGTTCTATCGTGCATGGCAAAGTACTCACCACTAGTATTGAACCCCACAGACTGACCGCCTACCCCATCAGTTCATCCCACCCATGCACAGCCACCCCAACAAGAAAAGCCTGCTGGAATGGGGGGTACTTTGCAGCGCACTCAGACGGAGAGGGAGGTGATGCTGGGAGCTGGGAACCCGCTACTGAAGTTTCTTTGCCTCCTGCACGTTTGACCTCTTCAAAGTGCTGTGCAAACACAGACTAATTAATCCCCTAAACCACCCGAGGATGCAATACTATTTAAAACTGTTGCTTTCCTTTTAAAACCCAGCCTCTAATCCCTTTCCTTGGGCTTCACACCCAGGATTCCTTGGGCTATCTCACCCCTCTAGCCTGATCGAGGCACCGGCAAGGGCAAGGAGGGTCTCTCCCCATGCAGGACAAGGCAGGGCTTTGTTCTCTCTCTACAGGCCAACACTCCTTCAGAAAGTGGAGTGCTGCCCCACACCATTTCCCATCCTGCGATTGGTGCCTCAGGCTGTGCCGGTATGGGTTTCACACAGCCTCCTTATGCTTCCCAGAGCATTCCTCAGGGATTAAGTGCACATTCCTGAAAAAGTAACTGCGCTGCTCACCTAAACACTGCTTGAGTGTTCAGGTTTCATGCTAAAAACACATTAGACGGGTGTTATTCAAAACTAAGAGACGACCTATTTCCCTTGTTTAAACAGTGGGGCTCCGGAGTTAGAAAGGGGCTCAGCTCCCAGGTGCCCCAGGGGAAATCACAAGCAGTGAGCTGCCCTGGATTTTGGGTTAAAATCACACTTTTTCAACCTGTTGCAGTTTGCAGACCCTCAAAGTGGAAACAAAACCTTCTCTGTAGGCATTCAGGCCTCTTGACAAGCAGCTTGCAGGTTTTTTGGCTGTCTGTTGCTGACCTCTTGGTCTGCTGGTCACTGGCTAAGGCTGGTGTAAGGTAACTGCAGCTCACCCAGAAGAAAGACCTTTCTCCTTTTAGGGGTATTTCTGAGGATCAAGTCAAATTGAGTCAAAGAGACTTGGTTAGTGTGCTTAGGGCTGCGCACTCTGCAAGAGCTTGAAGCCACTCCAGCATCCAGGCAGCCTCTGATGTTCCCCCTCTGTTCTTTGAAGGCCGGCTGGGCTTTGAGCTGATGTGTTGCTGCAGCTGCGAGGTCAGCCCCAGCAAGTAAGCTTCAGTATTCAGGTGCATGGCTAATCACCTGTCCAAGAACTGAAACTGCTTTTTCTATGCTGGGCAGCTCAAGACAGAACAGCCGGGAAAGCCCTGAAAAGGTCTGCATCTCCCTAGCAGCGTGCATTTAGCCATTAAGGAGCATGCCCAGCCATTAGTTATACTACTAATGGGGCACCTTAGCAAAGAACATACCTGCAGGGAGGGGAGCAGAGGTGGATCTGACAACTCACACATTCTATTTCCTGCTTAAACGGGCAGTCTCTGCTGTGGGTTAAGTCAAGGTTTAGGTGTTTATTTCAGAACTGTACTGCAGGTATAACCTCAGTCCTGACAGTGTAACAGTCTCTGCGTATGAGGGCTTTGTGTTAGCAGACGTTTATGGCCCTTTTTAACAGCCTTTTGAGAAATTATTTTAACTTCAGATACATTTTAAACTGCGTACTCCATGGTCTCTGGTAGGGTACTTCCACCTGCCCATGGCGGGGGTTGGAGCTAGATGACCTCAAGGTCCTTTCCAACCCTAACTATTCTATGATGTCTATGAAGAGACAGAGATACCAACAACTTTGTGGCACGAACCCATGCAGAGGGAAAATGAGCTGTGTTTCTACAGCCCCAGCAATGTGGACCGCTAGCAAGGTGGGCAGGCGGCTCACTTACGCAGCCCCTGCTATTAAAGCTGGAGAGAGTGGAGCAGCGCTTTGTTTCCCTCTTGGCCAAAGCTGGGCGAGGTGCCTGCCGTGAGGCGGGCAAAGCTGGCGGCAAGCGGAGGCTCGGGGAGGGCGAGGGGCCGGGCGGCGGTACTCACCTGCCTGGAGCAGCAGCAGCAGCAGTGCCAGCAGCAGGCGGGAGCCCATGGGCAGGTCGCTGCCAGGCTCTGGTGCGCCGGGGTTCAGCCGCGGGGCTGGCGAGCGAGCCGAGGTGCGGCTGTGCTTAGCAGCCTCCCCAGCCCGCTGCCCGGGTTTATATACACAGGGCTCTGCGCCCGCCTGCAGCGGAACACCCTCTGCGGCGAGGGCCCGAGCCCCAGCACGGTCCGGTCTGTGCGCGGGGAGGGCGAGGGCTGGCTCTGTTTGCCTGGCATCGTCTGAGGGAGGGAGGGAGGGAGGGGAGGGCTGCTGGAAGGGCTTTAGGCTGGCGGTCCCTGGGACAGCCTGAGACACCCAGGCACTAAGCTGGGCTCCTTCTTTAAGCTGTTTGCTTCCAGACCCTGGTTAACCTCTGAGTAGCTGCGGAAAAGGGAGGCCTGAGGCCGGGCTTTCTGTGGCTTGTGGCATCCCTCTGGCAAGGATTTTCTCTTTTTATAAGCACTCTTTCCAGGGTAATTTTGATTTTTTTTTCTTTTACATTATTTTATTTTAAGCCTGATTATTTTTTCACATTTAAAAGATACAAAACTATAAAAATCCAACAGAAAGAATACTGTTAGGTGCAAGTACCTAATTATAAACTGACCAACAGAGCTAATTCTGTGCCACTCCTGAGAGAAAAATACCCTCTTGGCCTGTTGCTGCACCTGACCGACACCAACTGATTTTGTGAGGACTCATCACTATGTGGGTCCCAGCCACAGCAACAGGACAGAAGCTGGGGACAGTCCCATGGGGCACCTGTGCTCTGGTCAGCCAGATCAGCAAGGTGGCCTCTGCTTGTGTGGGGCAGCAGGCAAGGTGAGCAGCAGGGATGGCCACAGCTCTTTTGCCTTTGGGGTTGAAACAAATTCCAGCCCTTCAGGGCTTTAAATCTCCTGCCTTGCTTGGTATAGCAGCCATTCGTGGCTGGGGTCTAAGCATCTGCCCCTTCCCAGGTGTGGGTATTATGGGCTGGGAGAGAAAGGGAGGAAGGCTGCTTGCCCCTTCCTCTCCTAACACAGGACTACCTCAGCAGCACCCCTTGCCCAAGTTCCCCATGCTAAAGCTGTGCCTACCTTCTTAACAGCATGGTTTTAAATATTTGCTTGCTAAATATTGGTACTTGAACCAAAGGTCAGCAGCAAGGCATTCACTGGGCTGCCTTCTGCCGGGGCCAGCCCTGCTGCAGCAGCTGGCAGTCTTTGCTGAGCAGGATTTCAAGATCCAGTGTAGATCAAGTGATACAGGGCAAAAGGGACAGCAGAACTGGGTAAACTCATGACATCTGTGATCCAGAGATCCCTGCCTGCCACTGTGGTGGGCTGTGTGCTGGCAGCAGGGAGGGAGGAGGGCAAGGGGAGCATCCCGCTGCTCCGTGCCCCAGCTCCTCTGCAGCACCGGAGGGCCCAGGAGGAGCTGCGCAGCTCACACCTCCTGCCCTCAGAAACTCCCTTCAGTAATCATGTATTTACTCAGGTAATAAAGCCAAATTCTATGTATGTGAGCTGTTGCTGGCTAATATTTAACCTGAAGAATATATGTTTGTGGAAGGAGGATGCTGGAGGATGGGTGTGCTGTATGCGAGGGCCCTGCGGATACAGGTCCTCAAAATGGCAAGTGCAAAGAAGGCAGGCTTTGAAGCAACATGCGGGGTCTGGGCGAGCAAGACACCCTGTTAGAGCAAGCTCTGTCCCTGACAGATACCTGACAGGCCCTGCTCAGTGGGGGCCAAGTGGGAGTTTTGAGCAACCTCTGCAGATGCTTCACAGGATTCCTGGGATCCCCAAGGCCAGAGGGCTGCCTCCAAGTGCCAAACTGAGGTGAGACTGACTGTCCCATAGCTCCCTGAGTCTTCCTTTTTATTCCTCAAATATGATGGGTAATGGTTTGGCCCCTTCATCTGCCAGTTCCCTCAGGATCTGCAGATGCATCTCATCGGGTCCATGGACTTGTGCACCATGAGGCTCTTTAGGCGGTCTCAGACCTGATCTTCTACAGCAGGCAGTTCTTCATTTTCCCAGTCCCTGCCTTTCCCTTCTGCGATTTGGGTGGTGTGGCTGGAGCCCTTCCCAGGGAAGACTGAGGCAAAAATTCGGTGAGTACCTTGGCCTTCTCCATATCCCCGGTAACCAGGTCTCCTGTTTCCTTCCAGAGAGGGCCCACATTTTCCCTACTCTTCCTTTTATCACTGACCTATCTGTAGCAGTTTTTCCTGTGCCCCTGACATCCCTGGCCAGATTTAATTCTACCAGGGCTTTAGCTCTCCTAACCTTTTCCCTGGCTCCTTGGACAATTTCTCGGTATTCCTCCCAGGCTCGCTGCCCTTGCTCGCACCCTCTGTAGGCTTCCCTTCTTTGTCTGAGTTTTCCAGGAGCTCCTTGTTCACCCATGCAGGTCTCCTGGTGTTTTACCCAATTTCCTCTTTGTTGGGATGCATCGTTCCTGAGCTTGCAGGAGGTGATGTTTAAATATTATCCAACTTTCTTGGGCTCCCATTCCCCTAGGGCTTTATCCCATGGTGCCTTACCAAGCAGATCCCTGAAGAGGCAAAACTCCACTCTCCTGAAGTCCAGGCCAGTTAGTTTGCTGTGTGCTCTCCTTGCCGTACCAAGGATCTTGCACGCCACCATTTCATGGGAACTTCAACCAAGCCTGTCCTCGAGCTTCACATTCCCCACCAGCCCCTAACTGTTGGTGAGAACAAGGTCCAGCAGAACACCTCTCCTTGTTGGTTCCTCTATTGCTTGGAAAGGGAGGTTATCATCAATGCATTGCTTGTGCCCTGCCCTCCAACAAACATGGGGCTGGTTGAAGTCGCCCAAGAGAACCAGGGCTTGTGAAGGTGAGGCTACTCCTGTCTGTCTGTAGAGGGCCTCATCCGCTCAGTCTTCCTTGGCCGGTGGCCTGTAGCAGACCCCCACTATAATGTCACTGTCCCTGCGCTCCCTTTAATCCTGACCCATAAACTCTCAATGGTTTCTTCTTCCCTCCCCAGGCTGAGCTCCATGCTATTATGCCCTTTCTCACAGCCCCCCCAAATAACAGATGAGGGGTTTGGCCCCCATTCAGCAATAAACACAGAATAAAGAAATACAGACTCTTCTGATAGCCAAATGTACTTGCAATGTTTGAAGAAGACTTCTGCAGACTATTAGGGAGTGATGCCCAAATTCAACATTAAAATGGAAAGCAGAATTAATGAATTGCTCCTTTACAATTGTTTCACACTGTTGACTGCTCAAGTTTGTTACTTATCTGGGAATTACAAATTGCCTAAATTGATCAGCATATTTACTCAGTAGTATTAAATGCTAATCATGGTCTTACTATGTCATGGCAAGTGCACTGGGATCATGAGGACATTTTTTTTACTGTTTGTGAAAATAAAATGAGTTCCCTGAGGCCATCCCTTCACGTGCATTTTGCATGTTACCTGTTTGAGCTCCACTTCTCACCAGCAGCAAGAGGGTGTTGGGTACGGATTGTCTCAGCAAACTCAGCTGTACAGACTACTGGCTGTCCAATCTGAAAGTGCATGCACAATAAACTCTAAGCCTCCAGTCACTTGCATGTGGCAATCAATCCATATGGTTGAAAGGCTATTTCTTTAGATGAACTAGCTCTTTTGGAAACAGGGCTCCCTTGGTTTGCACCACCAAAGCAGTTGGACCACAGGGACAATAGTGCTTCATGATATCTGGTTTCTTGTTGTTTCCACTATTAGGGGAAAGTCTTCAGTTGAAGGGAAGAAGACATTATAAGGACTCCACAGTTCTGAACAATGTTTACCCAACAAGTTTCAAGGTGCCAGAGCTTCTTACAGAAGCCAGGCTGTCCCTCATCCCACAGAGGCTGTACTGTCTCAAATGAAATATCAGTCATCTCTGTGGATGTCACCACCAACTGCAAGCAGAGGTCTCTGCTCAGCACCAGCAGACTCAATGATGCTTTTGCTGGCCAGGTCAGGGGTTTTTCCTATTAGGAGCAAAGGAAACTTTCTTGCAACACCATGGATGTTAAAGGCTCCCTAAAAGAACTGCCTGCCCTCCCTGGTTGGTCTATAGGAGTGTGACTAAAGCGACTCAAGGACACAGAATGACAATTTGGGTACTGTGAGGTAGAGGGGAAAGAATCAGTTCTAAAGGGAAACAAACTCCACATTACCTGTGCAGAGGAAAGCAAGCAAACAAACAAAATCTAACACTGCCACATGATTTGTGGTGACATAACCAGTTACAGATGCATTGGAGATAACAGAGCAACATAACAAGTAAACAGACTTATTTAATATCATCTTGCATGGAAGGTCTGTCCGTGCTTTAGTATTGACACAGCCTAGCCAAACTTGATGAGAAAAGACAACAGCATTATTTCTGTCTTCTGAGTCAGCCCCGGAAGGAAAGTTCTAAAGGTGGCTCCTGGTTCGAGGGTGTCCGGTATGTATCTATCTCCTTGAGCTTCACTGCTGCTCTGTGCCGAGTCTCATCTTGATGGTGGCACTTCTGAAGGGTGAAGCTAAAGCACCAGCCTGCAGCACTCTCTCAAAGCCAGTGCCTGCTTTGCCTATAGTCAGCCACACACACATATACCTCAGGTGATGAAGAAGTAAGGGCCACCTCTCTCAGGCCTTTGCTGTTGCAGTTTTCTCTCAGCACAGTTTCAAAGGTGCACACTGAGCACTGCCTATAGCAAAAGCTATAGCAAAAGCTATATAACATACGTTATCAGCAGAGAACCCGTACACAGCTGGCTTTTGTTCTAGAGCTCTGGTGACATTTCCCATTCAAAAAAGAGGAAATATTACCACAATTAAGGGATACCTAAACCAGGAACAGGCTGAATAAAGGAGTCTTATTCAAATACTGACACCACCTCAGGCGGTTTAGTTTAGGAGAACCACCAAGAGGTTGGGCTGCCTCATCTGATAGGAGGCCCAGGGAGCACAAACACACAGAGATGAATATACACTGTAATATCACAGAAACACAGAATCACAGAATCCCAAGGGTTGGAAGGGACCTCAGGAGATCATCTGGTCCAACCCCCCTGCAAGAGCAGGGTAACCTAGAGTACATCACACAGGAACTTGTCCAGG